GGTTGCATTGTGTTGCCGGAAATCAATGAGCTGCGCTTGGTAGCACATCAGGATGCTAACAGGTTGGCGAAACAGTTTTTGTACAAGATGCCAGTCTCTCTTCAAAGCATATTTGATCTCAACGTCAAACAAAACAAACTGCTAGAAAAGCTTTACGACTGGCTTGAAGTTTGCGGGCCCTCGAGAGGACGTGCGAGTCCAGGCAGCTCCGATCCGACGGCCCATGGATCCGGATCCGGATTCGAAACGAGACACGTTTAGAACCTACGCGGTTCGCTGTTTTTCCAGGGGCGACCAGAAAGAAGAAAAAGTGAAAAGAGGCGACCCGACTTGGAGATCTCTGGGCTGCGGGCTGTTTCTGACTGAAGGAAGTCGAAGAGCTCCCCGCCGCTACACCGCGTCTCAGGAACTTCTCAGAGGAATCCGAAGTGCACCATCCAACTCTTGGCTTACGGAAGCACAGGTTCGTTCCCACAACGGCAATTGATTCCCTGACAAACCAGCAGGTAGGAGCTGCTTGGATTATTTTGCTACATGACTCCGAACCTCTCACCTGTTCTCCCAGAAAAAGGTTCAGGCAAGCCCAAGCCCAAGTCGCGCACCATGATGATGTAGTAGTGTTTGTCATCCTGCACGACCTGGCGTTCCGCCGCGACCAGCCGGACAACCAGGTGGATCAAAATCAGAGGGTGTTCTTTCAAACAAAAAAAGGATGCAACTAGATAAATATCTAGCAATGTGTCTTTTTCCCCCCAAGAAATGGGAAATCCAACTTTGTCCCATTGGTGTGATCTGTACGGGTACATTCGGGTGACCCCTTTCAAGGTTCCCGAATTCGGCCTCCTTCAGTCCCAGGACGTTCTGGTGGCTGTCCAGGTTCAGCATCCGCGTGAGCAACGAGTGCCACACCTCGGAAGCTAACGACGTGTGTTGGCTCAGTTTCTGCGGACCTCCTTCACTTTGGCCTTGATGATTTTGTGTTCTATTTCGTTTCTACGGGATGGTCAAAGCTCCTATGAATATCCTCATGCTTCCGACAAGGATCCTTGCAAAGGAAATCAAAATCCCTTCTCAACCATCCCCAACAACCGTAAGAAAGAATGTCTTTTGACTATGGCACATGCAAGCCACGGAACAACAGGGGGATCCTGTTTTTCCCATTTCCCGTCCGGGGGCACGGCAGCCTCGCCGCCCACCGCGAAGTACCTCGCCCGCTTCTTCACGATCCTCGGCTCTGTGCGGGAAATGACGATGCGTCGCGGACCCTAAAAAGATTGGAAATCACACCGAAATGTCTCGGGGCACAAAATCGGAATTGTGGGACAATATCCCATCATTTAGAGGTATTTGCAGCTTGAACCCCTGAAAGCAGCTTCGGTGGAAAGATTTGTAGACGCAACAGGCACTCGCAATGAGTATCAATGAGTTGCATCCCAAGGTGCACGTCCTGGCCGTCCAGCTTGCAGATCGCTTTCCACACCTGAGTCTGGCCTCGGGACTGCTCTCTGCCGCCGAGCAGTCGAAGGGATCTTGGGTGCCAGGCTGCCGACGTCGTGCAGCAATTGCTGCAGGTCGTACTCCTCCTGACAAATCCCGTCAAGCCGAGGCTGCAAAAACACGCCAAGTGGAACAAAAATCCTGCGAAGTCTGAGCCCGCCTCGAAACTTTGATCAGGCGTCAAGACCCTCGGATCCGATGTGCCGGTCAAGTTTCAAGCTCCGCAGCTTCGGATCCGCAACTTTTTCCCCATAAGCCCCGGGGTTCCAGCGCCGAACCGAATCGGCTCAGAACGTTGCCGGATCTTCCGGTCGCCGGCAACAGCGGCAGCGCTTGGCTTCGGAGCCTCGCCAGCGAAGCGAATGGGACTTTCGCGATTTCAGGTGCCTCACACTGCCCGGGGAAGATCGGACGCCCCCAAATGTTGAGGGCTGGCCGAGTAGCCGCAAGCCTGGGACCCTTGCATGCTGGGACAGAATACCCCATCCCACCAAGAAAGGACACACACACACACACACACACACGCCGGGGCTACCTGCTAAGCCCGCCTTTTCCACGGTCAAGGCGCCAAACCCGCCGGGTCCGGCCCGGCGCTCTGCCAGGGACTTGCCTCGAAAGCCGCGAAAAGATGTGCGGCTTGGACCATTTGAAGCGGATGCTCAACCCACGTCAGATCGCGAGGAACCTATTCAAACGTGCACAAAACTCTCGACTGAGCACGTGGTCGACTACTCAGCTCACAAAGCGGCGTTATTTGTTTTTAAAAAAAATGCAAAATCAATGTCCAAACTGCAAAACACGGCTCAATCCCATAACAGCTTGGGAATTTAAAAGATGTTCATCTTTGGACATGCCTTAAAGTAGGGAAACCCCCTCCGCCAAATGTTGTGGTTGTCGCCTTTGGATCCCTTACACGCATCTGTTCCGGCAAATCAAGAAGTTCCCGCGCCTGATGCCATGGCCGGCGCAGCTTAAAGTCACATGCGTCGGCCGCAAAGCCGGTTCTGATTCAAACTCAGCCGCTGGCGAAAAAGTCCGAGTCGAGCTGCCCGATGCTGGTTGGTAGGCTGTGATGCATGCTCTGCACTTTGGAGCCACATGGAAATCGTTGGCGCTGAGATGAGACTTGGTTTGGCTAAACAAAAACTAAATGCGGAAGTTCAAAGTTGTTGAGGGCCTGGATGTGCGTCCTGTAAGCATCAGCCCGCCAATGTTTGGGGGGCATCTCGCAAAGCACGAATAGAACGTGCACACATCTTCGGAAAGCATTTGACGCTGCATGCGAACCAGAAAACATGTGTTTGGTTCCAAAGGGGCAAAAATACATGCCGATTGTTGAGGTTGCAATCAGTTTGACGGACAAAAAACATTCCAGCACACGTTTCGCTAACCACGGTCACAGAATCGTAAATGTTCAAAAAACATTGAGTTTGCAAGTTCTTCGCTCGTCCGCAAAATGCAATGGTCAGCAAACATGCCTGTTTCGCGTTGCAGGGCTGCAAACTGGTGACAGCACCAAATTGACAAAGTTGTTTTCAGGCCCTGCCGCGTTTCTGCCAGCTGGTTGTTACATCGTATCACCAAACCAAGCCACAAGTCATACTCATGCGGGCCGTACACCTTTCGTGGGTTCTTGGCGCAAGTTTCTTTGAATTTCCATAAGCACGGCCAAGACTGCGCTTGCCATTTTGATTTGACGCTGGACCACCAGGCACGCACTACAGTTGCAGCAGACATGCGCTGCTCCTGGCCTTTTATCCTGAATCGACCCTTTGCCCGAAAACGGGTATGGTTTGAACCGCGCAAACGGACCGTGAACCGTGCTCTCCACGGCTGGACGGCTTTCCCCGTTGCGCGGTTGAACAGTTACAGCACGGTCAGCTCGGTCAGCTCTCTTTTTTTAAACATCTATCAATTAATGCAAGATCGCAAATTTTGATTATGTGATTCGGGCACGAGCCTGTGCCCAGGCAATGGGTAAGTTGGGGTAAACAAGCCACAAAAGAAAGGTTCCCCAAAAGCAAACCAATCCCCGGTCCCAAAGATCAGGGTTTCCCACAGACCAGAGAACAACAACCAAAAGGGAAAAACCAAAACAAGTAAACAAGTACCCGCAACCTTGATCGACGATGAACCGCACGGGCGGACCCCACCAATCTGCCCCGGGCCGATGTCTCTTTCTCCACCGACACGAAGGTGATCGACGCGGGGACCCGGCGACGCTCATCCGAGGCGCGACGGACCCGCAAACTTGAGCCTTGAGCCAAACATCACAGGTCAGTCACTACCGCGACATCCCTGATGATGAAATGAACCATGGCTAATCACACCCCCCTCACGAGGAGCCCGTCATATGACGGGTGGAACGTGCAATTTACTGATAGGATTTAACTGCTCGCATGCGTCCGCAAACAGCTGGACACTACCGCCGTCAGCGGTGGAGCAAACCCACAAAGGCAGTTGCGCGACATCCCGGGCATTAAATTCCCGCCACACCCCGAATTAATCGGGGTAACGCTGTCCAACATACCGTGTGGAAAAGTCCACATGACGACACTGGGTCACAACTGTTTGCATCAACAATGCAAGTAGTTCAATTCTTATCAGAAGCCATGAAACAAAGGATAACGTATGTTCATCAGTACCCTCGCCTATCGGCCCTCCAGTTTGCATCCCCTCTCACTCACACTACTTCATGATGAGCATGACCAGCAGCCGAGCAGCGGTGCGGGAGAGGCATGATCTCCGCGCCTCAGCGGTTCGGAAGGAACATCATCACCTCCGCACCGCGCCAACCATCGGAGAACGGACGTCCCCGTGACTTAGCCTACCGGCTACCGCCACGTCTCCTCCGGTCACGTCCGCCCCGCGCACGGTCCCTGTCACGATCCCTCTCGGATCTCCTGCGATCATCTCGCCTTCGATCTCGCTCTCGATCGAGTGAATCATCACCACGACGATCTCGAAAATCGTCCCTCCTTCTGTCTCGATCTTCGTCACGCCGCGGTCGATATCTGCGCCTCCTTGATTCTCGGGAATCCCTGGTGTCCAGAGTCCTAACGGACCTCCGAGAGGGAGTGCGTGAACATCCGAATCCCGACGCCATTCCTGACGAAATCTCTGACCTGCCTATTTAGCACCCTATCGGGTGACATCGTCAGGAAGGCATCCACCACCGAACTCTCCGGCAACACCAGGAAATGACCCTCCGCCGAGCAGCTCGCTCCGCCGACTGCAATCTGACCTCACCCCTCAGCTTTCGGAGCCTGAGCACTCTTCGCCTCAGGAATTGAGGCTGCTTTCCCCTTCGGTTCGGCCTTCGGGGCTGGAGTCATCTTAGCCTTTGCACTTGGCCGAGCTCCTTCAACCGCTATCGCAACCCAAGTCTTCTTCGGTTGAGCCGCAGGTGGATCAACCTCCATTGGAGCCGGCCCAGGCTTTCGTCTTCGGAACAGCAGGACTATCGCCCTTACCAGACCGTTTTCCTGACACATCGCTTGACTTTGGTTGTGGGTCGGAAGGACTATCGCCCTTACCACCCTTTTCAACCCTTCTTCCCTTTTCCTTTCCTGCCCTTGACGATCGGCTCCTGCTTTGGACCAGGACCCTGCGCAGCATGATGCACCGACTGGAGACGCCATCGAGTAGGAAATCAACTTCCTCTTGATAACCCCGACCACATCGGAGGCAAGAGAACAACAACCAAAAGGGAAAACCAAAACAAGTAAACAAGTACCCGCAACCTTGATCGACCATGAACCGCACGGGCGGACCCCACCAATCTGCCCCGGGCCGATGTCTCTTTCACGAAGGTGATCGACGCGGGGACCCGGCGACGCTCATCCGAGGCGCGACAGACCCGCAAACTTGAGCCTTGAGCCAAACATCACAGGTCAGTCACTACCGCGACATCCCTGATGATGAAATGAACCATGGCTAATCACAGATTACAAAGTACTACGCTGAAAACGCATGTTTCCAGCGCGCAAGCAGTAGGTGCATTCGAGGTGCATTTTCACGCCTCTGGCTCAAGGATATCCTTTTTTACGTACAAAGTGACAAAATCGTAACTTTTGTGTACAAAACCAATACGCAAAGTATATTCCCCCAAAGCGGCTGCAAACTTCGCCTGCCAACTTATCGAGCGGAAACAGTTGTTTGGCAATACCCCGGCTCGCTTCTGCTTCTGTCTCTGCCACGAGGGTGGCGGAGACAGGCTGCGGTCGTTTGGCGACATTCTCATTAACTTCTGCGTTTGCCACGGGGGTGGCGGAGACAGGCTGCGGTTGTTTGGCGACATTCTGGTTGGCTTCGGTCTTTGCCACTGGGGTGGCGGAGACAGGCTGCGGTTGTTTGGCGACATTCTCATTAGCTTCTGTGTTTACCACGGGGGTGGCGGAGATAGGCTGCGGTTGTTTGGCGACATTCTGGTTGGCTTCGGTCTTTGCCACTGGCGTGCGGTTGTTTGGCGACATGCTTCTGTGTTTACCACGGTGGTGGCGGAGACAGGCTGCGGTCGCTTCGCAACATTCTGGTTGGCTTCTGTCGGCGGAGAAAGTCTTCGCCACGGGGGTGGGCGGAGACAGGCTGCGGTCGTTTGGCGACGTTCTGGTTGGCTTCTGTCTTCGCCACGGGGTGGCGGAGACAGGCTGCAGGCGTTTGGCAACATTCTGGTTGGTTTCTGTCTTTGCCACGGGGGTGGCGGCGACATTCTGGTTGGCTTCTGTCTTTGCCACGGGTGTGTTTGGCGACATTCTGGATTCTGGCTGGCTTCTGTCTTTGCCATGGGGGTGGCGGAGACAGGCTGCGGTCGTTTGGCAGACATTCTGGTTGGCTTCTGTCTTTGCCACGCGTGTGGCTATCTTTGCCACGGCGGAGACGCGGTCGCTTGGCGACATTCTGGTTGGCCTCTGTCTGCGCCACGGGGTGGCGGAGACAGGCTGCGGTCGTTTGGCGACATTCTGGTTGGTTTCTGTCTTTGCCACGGGTGGCGGAGACAGGCTGCGGTTGTTTGGCGACATTCTGGTTGGCTTCCGTCTTTGCCACGGGTGTGTTTGGCGACATTCTGGATTCTGGCTGGCTTCTGTCTTTGCCATGGGGATGGCGGAGACAGGCTGCGGTCGTTTGGCAGACATTCTGGTTGGCTTCTGTCTTTGCCACGATCTTTGCCACGGTGGAGACAGGCTACATTCTGGTTGGCTTCTGTCTGCCACGGGGGTGGCGGAGACAGGCTGCGGTCGTTTGGCGACATTCTTGTTCGCTTCTGTCTTTGCCACGGGGGTGGCGGAGACCTGGCTGCAGTCGTTTGGCAACATCCTGGTTCGCTCCTGTCTTTGTTACAGGGGTGGCGGAGACAGGCTGCGGTCGTTTGTTGCGCGCGCTTGCTTTTGGGATGTAGTGCGATTCATGTGCATCTTCATGAAGCTGGACCCGCTCGAGGCTCCCGCTCAGTTTGTCAGCGGTGTGTTTACGAGGAATATCATGCGCCGGCTGGAGTATGTATTCTTCGACTCGGACTTCATAGAACGCATCGACAACGCCCGCTGCGGAAACCTTGAACATGTCCACAGGCCAGACCAAGCCCGCGGTTGCGCAGCAGTGTGTGAGGAGGACTGCGATTTTCTGCACAAAGAGCTGGAGTCCATCAAGGCTGCCGAGCAGTTCGCCCTCTCATGCAAAAACATCTTTGCCGAGACCGCTGCTTGAGAATCCATGTCGCTGAACTGGAGCAATCCAGAGTACCCACACTGCCTCGTGGACAAACCGCACAAGCTGATGGAAAATGCCCCACACTTCCACGTCTTTCGGTTGACGCACGCCTCATTCACGCCACACTGTCACGAGACCGACCGCCCCAGTCCAGAACAGTTCGGTGGATGGCAGGCCACAGTCTTTCGCGCCATGAAGGCGTTGGCGGCGCTGGGCGTGTCACACGAGCACGCGTCTTTGACTTCGGTGAGGAAGGTGACAACGGCAAGGCGTGCTTGCAGTTAAGATAGACCT